GAGCAGCGGTTGCTGCCTCAGCTCTCACACAAGCTCCCCGGAGGGAGGGAAAGAGGGAAGAGCTGGACTGGCACCGCATCACCCCCAGCCATCAGCCCCGGTACTGCCTGTGACTCCGGCTACAACCTGTAGCTTCAGAGCATTTTAGAAGCGTATTAATTATTCTACTAATTCAGCTTCGCTTTCCTCGCCTCTTGAAGCCAGCTGAGGCCAGGCTCGCCGCCGTCCCGAGCAGCTCCGCGCCGGCGGCACTGCCCGCCGCGGGAAGAGCGGCGCGGCGGCGGCCGGCCCAGCTCCGGGGAGCGGGCCCGCCGCGGGAAGGGCAGCGCCGCCGCTGGCCGGGCCGTACCTTGTCGGTCTGGAAGCTGACGGGGGCTCCGTATCGGCAGTAGGTGACGAAGTGCTCGCAGTTGTTCCAGAGCAGGCTGTAGGCCGTGGCGCCCACCAGCTTCTCTGCCCGGCGGGCCGCCTCCTCGCTGCCCAGCACCTGGTCCTCGAAGAGCCGGTCCATGTGGTTGACCAGGATGCTGCCGCCGTAAGCGAAGTCCTCCACCGTGTCCACCCGGACGCTGGCCGTCCTGGCGATGACGCCCAGGATTAGCCGCTTGTTGGTCACCACCTGCTGGATCTGCCGACGATCGCCGGTGATGGAGGGCAGGATGTCGGGCATCAAATGGGCGACGCGGTTCTCGCCCAGGTAAATGCCGAAGTGGATGAAGAGGGTGCGGGGCACCTCCAGCAGGTCTCCTCGCTTGAAGCAGCTGGTGTCGTAGTAGCCTGGTGCAGGCGGTGGCGTTTCCCCGGCGGAGCCCGCGGGCAATGGCCGGATGTGGACGAGGAGCATCAGCTTCTCCAGCAGCAGCGAGGCCGCCTGTGGCACCGGGTTCTTCATGGTCGGCGGGGAAACCGTCGGTGCCTCCGAGTCGCTCCTAGCCCCCGGCACCGCTTTTCTAGGCTATCGGCGGGGCGGGGCGGGCACCCGGGCCGGCCCACCGGGTGAGGGGCGTGCGGGGAGCGCCCGCCCCGAGGACCGGCCGGGCTTTACCGGGGGGCGCGGCGGGCACTCTCAGCCGGCCCGGCGTCCCTCGGTCCGGCCGCGGCGGCGGCTCGGCCCTTGGGATGGCGTGGTGCCCGCAGCCTGGAGCCACCCGCAGCTCCGCCCCGTCTACCGCCCGCGCTGCCCAGGTAGAAGCGCACGGAAAAGTGCGAGTAAAACCCTTCACCCGCCCCGGGGAGAGCAGCGAGGGGCTCCCGGGGCCACAGCCGCTTCGTGCACGTTCCCCCCGCCTGCGGGACCTGAGGGGCTCCGGGTGCCCGCCCCGGCAGTCGCGGGCGCCAAGCGGCGACCGGATCGGATCGGGGGGGCCGGGCGGGCTGCCACGGTGCTCGCACGGCGGCGGGACAGGGGAGGGAGCGTCTGTCTTCCCTGAAAGGAAAGAGGTCTCCGAGGGATAGCGGCAAGTCACATTTATAAATTAACTCGCCCCAAAGGTCCGCCAGCTAAGAAAGAGTGGGAAGCGGCGGAACGGCATTCCCGTGCGTTCAGTTTCATGCTAATCCATTATGCAAATGGCTAAATCCTGGCAACGGAGCCCACAAAGGAGCAGCCCTGTCAGGTCAACAATGCCGCCCGATCGGGGCTCGGAAGTTTCACTAACCAAGCAGGGTCCCGCCCCCTCGGGGATGGCGGGATGATGGATGGGGCAGACATTCATTTTACCTGGAAGATGACAGGGCGCGGAGAGTGGCAGGGGAGGTGGCCACGGCTGCAGCCTTTCACCGAGTGCCCCGGCCCGCTGCCACGGATCTTTGTTCGTGCCGCAGCCGCTCCGGCCCGGAGCTGTCGCTCCGGCTGCAGGGGGAAGCTTTCGCTTCTGAGAAACGCGGAACGGGCGGAGGGAGGGGGAAGGAGAAAGGGATATGCGTGTAAGAATGCTGGACAAGTTTGGTGGAGCATCTTCCTTTAAACTCGGGCAAACACTGCAACCTCAGGATGCCAAATACGAAACGGGGAAGCGGGAAGAGAAGCGATGGCGTGTGTAACAGCTTGGCAGCTCTCCACAGGCAAACCGCGTTGAAACAGTAGGTTATTTTTCTCTCCTCAGTTATTTTAAACTATGGAACACGAATGAGACCTCCAGACCACCCCAGAGCTGTAGAATCCCTTTGGTCACACCAGCAAAAAAGAGAAAACGTTCACTATCCCTTTTCTTGCCACTAGCAAACAACTCTGGTATGATTCGGAAGGCAAAGGGCATGCAAAGGACCCAGGCAGGTGAGAGCCTTGTACCCTCACAGATTCTGAACCCAGGTTCAGGATCTTGTAAACATGAAAGCTTATTGATGAACCAACAGCAAAATTTCCCACTTCCTCAGTAAAGACAATATTTCAGGGGAGGGGGTTACCTCACTACTTGTCAGCAAAAGACAATGGTTGGTACCCTTCCGTTTCCTCCTGCTTGGAGCAGAGAGCAACTTCCTGGGAAGCTAAGACTATCCTCACCTTGCTTGCTCTGTAAAGAAAGAGGCCCCCGTAAGCTTTTGTTCACTTGCTGATTACAGGCCAGAGCCTCAGCACTACTAACAGGAGTGATCAGGCCTTTGGGATTTTCTTTGGAGTTTCAGCCAAATTTTTATGCAACAGAAGCTTACCCCTCTCAAGACCCCTACTTCAAATCACATCACTTACAAAAGAGAAAATACCTTTTAGATGTAGCTTATGATGCTTGTACAGGAACCCTGTGGATTAGCCACCAGACACACATGATTATATAATTAAACCAGCATATTTTCAAATCCAGCTGTTAAAAAAACATATTTGAAGGTTTGAGGCTTTTGCTACAAGTAAATAAAAGTAGGGGGAGGAGGAGGAGGAGGAACTTCTTAACTAGTGCATTTTTTTTAATGATGAGGGGAAATTTAAACACCTCATTCTCATAAAGGGTCTCACCCATTTGGTGATGGTCACAGCAGGTGGTCCAGAGCTGGAGGCACAGAATGTTGTCAAGACTCCACAAAAGTCCTGGCACAGAAATGTTCCTGTTTCCCTCCTGTGTGGATAAGCATCATTCCTGCCCTGCACTGCCACCTGAGGACTCCCCCTCTCCCCTTCCCTTAAGCTGTCTAGGGAGTGTCTGAATGATCTTTGCTGAAACAGGTGGTAGTCCTGCAGTTCAGATTTCTCTTCCCTGTCCAAAGGTAGGTAGAGGAATTCAATTAACTCCCTGGCAGATACACTTCCCAATGGGATCTTTCACATGGAGGCAATCTTTGTTTGCTTTCTTCATGCCAGTTAGCTTTAATCCCAAAATCACCAGGGCCCATTTCAAGTAAATCCAGAAAGGAAACCAGGATGAAACCGAAGAAGAGGAATTTCTTCAATGAGAAGGAGACTCAAAGCCTTACTACTGCATGGGAAGGTTTCAAAGTAGTAAGGTGAAAGGTGTGACACTTCTGCTGTGTAATTTCCTCATACCTCAGGGAGTGAAGAGCTTCCTCTCTCCCTCCCCCCAACCACTCACTCACTCACTCTCAAGCCCAGAAACCCCAGTGACAAGCCCAAAAGGCATTACAGAACAGATGGGTCTGTGGAATCCACCCAGGTAATGAATGCTTCGCCACTACCTTGAAATTGTTGTGAGCATTACTGTGTGCAAAGCACTTAATACAACCTATCAATGTAATTCCTGAACGAAACCATTCAGATTCTTGAAAAGCAACTTGCAACCCAACATTTTCTGCTTTCAAACCCAAGGGGCTGCACTTCTATTACTGTTAAACTTCTACAGTGCAATGTACGGTATACTTACCATAATTCTGCATCTGAAAGAGGGAAGAAAACATGTACTTTAATGGAAAAATATCTCTACTGGAGAAGGCAAAACTAAAAATATACATTGTGCATCAAACACTGGCACAACTTCTTGGGTGACTTTTGTACCTTTAGTACACAAATTTAAGTGGGAAAATCACTCTGGAATATTAAATATAAACCTGAAAACATTGAGGAAGTATTTGGACTGTTAAGTGTCATGGAATAACTTAATGATAAAGCCCATGCTTTATTTTTGAGAGTTAGGCTGAGATGCAGTAAGAGAGCTGTGAGAGGTAAGAATGAAGCCTTTGTTCAGGAGTGCAGATGAGCCAAAGCACAAAAACTTAAGTAAGAGGTGTAAGCCAGTTTCCATTACACGGAAACTCCTGTATTAGAAGGAACCTTATTTTATGCACTAGACATTACTATTTCCATCCTGCTCTCACAGCTAACACAGTAGGGAAAAGGCAGGAAAGGCGTGGAGTTGGAAGGTTATGTTCTTGCCTATATGAGGAACAGATCTGGTTTAACAAGCAGGCAAAATGAATTTTTTAACTGACTGAAGTTAAACCAATGCAGACTGCACACATGCTCACCTTTGTGTATATTTTACCAAACCTTTCTCAATTAGTCAAGCTTTACTTTCGGATCATTTGGGACTGCGGAAATAAGCACAGTTTCATGAACTCATAACATGTTAAGGCATTCAAGGAGAATATACCCTCCAAAAATCATTATCCAAAGATGCTAATTTGCAAGAAGAGTATCTGAAAAGAAAAGCCATTTGGTTTAAGCTGGTCTGCTGAAAGAAATAATGGACAGAAAACATGTTTGTGAAGGGTGGTTTAATAGCATCCAAAAGGGCTACTCAAGAGATAAAAAATAACACCTTTGTATTCCCATATCCATCCCATTTGAACACTGTACCATTCCTTTCAGCAAATTACAGCTTCCACTACAGATCTGTAAGTGATCAGCTCTCCAGTAAACAGAATCATTTACTTTTTTGGTTTTTGCATTTAACCAAGACTAGGGACAGGACAGAAAAAATCTGAACAAAGAAGGGAACCAGCAAGACAATGCAAGAAATTGCAGGCAAGTGAAACAACTCCAAAGAAAGAACCTGTGAACTAAGTATCACTCTCTTCCAGTAGAAGAAACCACATAAACAACTAAAACAAATTTATACTTTATAAATGTTCACTTTTATTCAGAAACTTATTGCATACACATTTCCAGAGTCACTTAAGCAGCATATTGAGTAAACTGAAAAAATTTACTGTAGCCTTTCTATCCTTGTAGGTTTGCTACTGAGGTCTATCACTTTTTCTTTTTTACTTCTCTCAGCAGTCTTCCAAATTATTAAGGAGAGTTTTCTAACAAACAACTGTAAACATAATAAAACCTGCATGCCATTTTCACTTTGAAGTTATTAACTTCGCTATTTTTCTGAAATGAAGTGATGACTTATTTTTTACAACCTGACAATCATGTTGTACACATGGACAGTACCTACGACTTGCTCAGGCAATAATTGTTTAGATGGATACAGCATTCATTTATGATGCCTTTAACTGAAATGAACAAAAGCACAGAAAACATGGGAACAATTCACTGCATAGTCCTCATTAGCAAGCAAGAGGCTAGGAAATTAATAACAGTGATAGCACTGGAAATGTAGGAACTAACAGATAGGTTTGGTGACAATTAAAAAAGTAGTTATTTCCATAACTTTGTCTGCTGTTAGTAATGCCTCATTTTGTCAGTACTAAACAATTAATACAATCTCCCCAAAATAAACAAACTGATTAATTTCTGAATATAAAATGCCTGAACACGTGGAGTAATATTTTTACAGCTTCTGCAGAGAAAATACAGTTATCAGAATTTCCATCTTGCTATTGTCCCAGGAAATCTGATACAGATTTTTAAGTCTCTTCTTAATGAGATGAAGTTCAGAGGTATCCCAATTTGAACATGCTAATCATATTGTGCAGGAAGGCAGACGGAGAGGTGATAACTGGGAGTCAGAAGAAAGAATACACTGCATTCAACATGGTTTTTAGTCACAGCAAAGACACCTTTTTGTGGGAAGGGCAATGCAAATGACAGTCAAATAAACTTAATCCAGGCATTACTCTGCTGCACAAATCAAGGATTTAATAGCCTTGAAAGAAAACCACCCAAGCCTGCTTTACCCCTGCCAGGACTGCACCACCACAAGAAGGAGTGAGCAGGCAGACTCCCCTTTCCTCATCTTCAAATTTATTACCACACTAAGATCTGCAATTTACTACTACTCAGTGCTTTCAACTGAAGGATTAATTAGTGAAAGATATTGGAAGATGTAAAAAAAAAGTCTGTCATTAACCAGATAAAGTGCTGGAAGTTTGGTGGATCACCACCAAAGGTCAGCATTTATGACCAGTCACTGTATAACAGTACCAATTATTACTTTTCTTTATTGCCCAGCAGGGAAAACTGTTCCCCAGTACCAGGCAGTGCTGCCTTCCCAGCAGTGCAGAGCAGGTTCCCCAGCCTCACTCAGTGCACAAGACAGACACAGAAGACAGGACAGCAGTCCCAGCAGTTTGCAAATAAAGGATGAGAGAAGGAAAAGAGAGATGGACGGAACAGGAGGTAATTTCCATCTTGAAATAACGATTACCTTGTCTCATAATTAAATGTTATGTTGCAGTTTGATTAATTCTATTTTTCAGGAAATAAATTGATTCTTCATCCACTGTATTAACGAGACAGGAAATGTTATCAGGCACAGACAAAGCTATTAGTCTGGTATTATTCAAAACATTTGCCAATCTGTGCCATATAGCTAAACCTGAGAGACATAACTGTCAAATTTCTACTCTTCAACCTTATAAACAAATCTCATTCAAGAAGCCAGTTCTTGTTTATAACATGTATTTATACCACTTAGTGTTCAAAGCATATATATAAAACACCTGTTATTCTATCAGTGATTTTAAATCAGGAACATTTTTAATCTGGAAATCCAACAGCATCTGTCCAAATGCTTTACCCTGTAAGAAAAAGAACGAAACCAAAATTTTATTTTACTATCTAAATATACCATCTTTTTAAAATAAGGTTTGGTTTGTTTTTTTTTTTAATGGTTTCATGTGAGTGTTTCTCCTATAATCAGGGTTGGAATTATTCTAAGTTTCTTGAGTTTTCAAGCATCCAAATCTGAATAGACTGAACAGTTTATCGACTGCTCAATCTATTTATTTGGTACCTAGTGCTAAAATCAATTAATTTGGGGTTCAATTCTACGTATTCATACATAGCATCACCTTGTTTTGAGAGGAGTCTTCTTGACTATGCTGAGATGATATGCACATGAACATTTCTGAGCCTAAGAGCACAGCTGTGTAAGCCATAGCATTGCTCAGGATCTCATCTTCAGGTTTACATGTTTTATGTATTTAATATTCAGATTATACATTTGCAAAAGAAGATATTACTTTCAGATTCACATAAAATCATCAACACAAAAGACCTCATATCCATCTGCTTTTCATGTTTATACATAATTTATCAGTATTTTAACTATAAAAGGCATAGGCTAAATGAGGAGTTGTCCTACAACATGGTTCCTGTATATACCTGGAAACAATCAGAACTGTCTAGTAAATCTGCATTTTTTAAAATGAGAAAAAAGTTTCTGATATTAAATTCTGAAATTAGTTTCTGATAATTGCTGGTGCATCAAAAAACTGGTAGTCTTCAAATCAGTAATGCTCTTTATGATGTGCTATCCTATTGGTACACATCTTTTTCACCAAATATTCCAAATCCACTTTCTACTTTCCTATGTTGTTTTCAAACCTTACAAAATTAAATAGACAGTATCTATTAACAGGAAATTAAAAGGAAGTGGAGTCAAACCCCAAACGTCACAGTTCCAGCCCAAAAGCTGGTTCTAAAGAGACCCATAAAAGATGACTACATTAAAATGATTGCTTTGATACATGCCTGTGGGTCACTTCTTAGGGAGGCTATACCACCACCACCAAGGGAATTCTTCAGAACAAAATTTAATCCATGGATTCCTGGTAACTCGTATCTGTAGAACAAAAACTGCACATTATTTCTCAGCAGATTTTGGAAGAAACACATGTAGAGAACATCAAACAAAAACCAGCATGCAAAATTTTCATGCTTCTGATCACATCCCACTGCTGAGTCAAGTCCAAAAGGTAACAAGATTAACACAAGGCCTTACCTGCCTTCTTGTTCCTTCCTCTTACTTCAAATTACCAGCCCTTAATAGTTTCAAAGCTGGACCATAAAGTAATCATTCTCCTCTATCAAAAATCACCAATTTCTAATAGGGCTGTTTCTAGAGGTCTTTCTTTCTGTGAGTTAAAGTCCATTATCTGCAAGCCAGAGGTTCAAGATCTGATATGAACTCAAATAACACGATGGGCAAAAGAAAGTATTTGTATTAGCTCCTAGTTCTGGTACTGAAAAGTAAAATCACTTAATTCCTGGAACTCACTTTTGCTAACAAATGCTTCCAGCTAATTGGAAAGACACCCTCTTCATTACTGAGAAACATCTATGAGTCACTACATCAACTCTTAGGATGAACAGATAACTTTACGGCAAATTCAAATCAGAGCTTTCCTGGAGCCATGTACTTTGTTCAGATAAAACTTTATTTTAGTGTGACAGCCTATGTTTCTGTTCCATCGCCACTGTAAGCATTTTTCCATCCTTGCTTTTGACTGGTGCAGTTCCAATTTGGAAACTTCTGTAGCAGTTTGGCAAATGGCTCTGTGGTTTCCTATTGTTTCATATTCCATAAATAGATCTACAGTATATTTCCATTTGCCTCTCCTTGCAGTGTTTTGCTATCTTCTTTCTATTGTTGGTGTTTTTTGGTTTTGCTTACCTCCAATATTTTCTTCATCTAAGTACCTGTTAGCTTTGCTTTCATTCCATAGGAAAGAATTTAAATCAGAACATCATCAAGCCATGAGGAATCAACAGAGAAACATGATATCCAATTTAAATCCTGCTTCCTCCAACATCGCTTATTCTTTAGTCACCTACCCAATCTTCATCTGTTTGGGACAGATTCTTTACATCTTTCTCCTAATATAGGTGCAATTTCTTGCAGTGCTCTTACACTGCTGATTCTGTCACTTTGAGGTTTATCTCTTTCAGCTCCTTTTGAGCACTGTGAAAACCATGGCTGTTGCTGGTGCTCACAGCCCTGTCTGCCCTTTTATCTTGGGCGTATGACCTAAACCTCTTGTGGAAAGAGAAGATTCTGCTGAGCAGTGTGGCAATCACTTCAGTTCTTGTTCTGGAAAGCAAGAAGTCATTGGAGTGTTTGTGTCTGTCTCCCAGGCAAAAAGTTTAGTAAGTTCCTTCAACTTTTTTATTACTGCATTCTACTTTAGTATTAGAACTATCAGATTTTATTAAGAAAAAAAATTGGTGTCTGCATTCTGCTACCCTTTCTCAAAAACTAGTTGACAGGCACCATTATCATGCTTGAAGCCAAATCCACTGGGAAGGCAGGAAAAGTAGATTAATCCACCAGTGCTCTATTAGACAACACAAATATGAAGAATAAAGCAATTCTACAATAAGTTACCTACCTAATTTACTAAATTTAATACCATAATCAACTATATATCACAACCCCACCAAATTTTCTGAAAAACTAAATAAAAATTTCCAGTCACCACATACCATGAAAGCAAGAGATCTACCAAAGCAAAGCACTACACTATGAATGTTACTCCAAAAAGCTGACAAAGATCTCCAAGCAGCAAAGAATTCACAACTGGAAGAGGTCTTCTCAAGAACTAGACTGATGGAATTTTGATTCCTAATATCTCATCTCTCAAAAGAATGTCATGAAAATCAATCATGAAAAACAAATCAGGAGAGAAACTGAAGAGCATATAAATGCAGAAACAAGTAAGTGGAAGAATTTCATTTCACTTTCTGCAGTAATTTTGGCAGAGAAAATATGTAATACAAGCAACAGATCTTAATTTGGAACACTGTAACATGGCATATTCATTGTATTTACTTTGAGAAAATATTTACAGTGGAGTAATATAGCTAAAATGAGAATTACAAAATAATATATGATGGCCAGCATCTTCACTATTTTAAGTCTTGTCTGTAGCATCTGAGCATCCAAAATATTTCCACAAAGAAAATAAACTTGTGCAATAAAAGGAAGAAAAACCATTATAACAATTATAATAGTCTTAAGCAGCAACAATACCTTGACTAAAATGCTGGCAGGCATTTACTCAGCATAATTAAACAATTTAAGCTTAATTAACTGAGATCTAAAGGAACAAAAATATCTAATTGTACCACTTAAATGTTTTAAGAGCTGCTTTTAAAAAACACAGAAAACAAATAAACCTTTCAAAGAACACTATCTGTGACAAAAACCAGTAAGACAAGGAGTATTCACTGTTCTAGCTGAAATCCTTTGCTTATGCACAACGGAGAACTACTTTCTTTAAAGTGCTGTCCATAATATTCAAAGAAGTAAGGTCTTTTGGTGAATCTCCCATTAAAAAGCATGGAAATAATAACGATATAAAATTATTTAATGCATTTAAATCAAGGAAAAGACAGGATTCTTTTCATCGCAGGAAAGCAGGAGCCAAGTCCATAGGCTTAAAGAAGTGTTTGCAGATGAGATATACTGTAGAGAAATACTTATTTTTCCTAACAAATGTATGTAAAAAAAAAAAAAAACAAACATCTAGAAGGATCAGCATCCACATTTCTTGTTCTTCAGCTCTTGGTGAAAACATCACATAGGAAGAAATCAGATGTCAATTTTTAATATTTCTGAGCATTGAAATGTTATATATATGTACATTACATATACCACATTTCAGAAGATGAAAATAGTAAAATCTTATAGGATAGATTTACTGTCCTTCTTAAAAGACTGACCCAGTACCACTGCACAGAAAGTTTCTTGTTCTGCATCTTCAGATACTTGGATCTGTTAAGAATGTACTCCAGCACTCTACTCTGGGAAGCAATCACCTGAGGATTGAAAGACCATCTTTTTCTATTATTTTACCTGCAGATCTGGAAATTCATGAGTTTTCAGTGTCCTCTACCAAAATAATCCCACCTTTTCTCTGTTTAGTACACCTGTTTAATGCCTCTAGTGAGAAAGCATGAAAGGCAGCTGGTTAACAGACTGTTCTGTAGCGAGTAAGAGCCACGGTTGGTATGCTTACAGTAGCAAAGCTAATACATAGTTTTTAACTACTCACTATTTAAATAAAGGAAATGAAGGAAAATCAGACAGTAAGAAAACTCTTTTTAATGACAGTTAAAACTAAAAAATAAACAAGTAATTAAAAAAGAAACTACACAATCTGAAGCACATGAGCATAATCCTTATAATCCTAAATATTTCCACAAAAGGTCTTAATTCTTTTTCCCCAGTAGCTTTCCAATTCACTCACAGAGCTCCATTATCATATCATTAAAGGAAGCCAAAACCACAGATAATCTAATCAGTCAAATTAATTTGGCTACATCCAAACAGAGCAACTTTTATTTATGAACATAAACAGCATTATAAGGAATGCCAATGAATCCATTTCTAGAACAATCATTAGGAGGAATAACGTTGTTTATTTCTTTTCATCTCTGCTCTGTTTCCAAGGAAATTCAATTACAATTCTTAGTATCACAACTTATTAGATACACAGATTTGTTAGCACTTCTGAAACAGTGAGTGAGATCTGCACTGAGCTGCTTATGAAGACAGAACCAGCACTTACAATTCAAAGATCAGGGGTTAAAATAACTCCAAGCTCTCTGAGCTTTGAGCTGTACCTTTCTGACTCAAGCTTTCTGAACAAACAAAAAGACAGCCAACAGTTTATCCACTACCCATGGAAATACATAAAGGATTTTAGCAAAATCTCCTTATGTGCAGCACAAATGACTTTGTATCAGAACATAAGTTTTGAAGTTTTAGGAGACTGAATATTTTGTGACAGTATTCAGCTTTTACTTGTTTTCAAAGAGATAAAAAGGTTTAAAATCTGTTGACTGTTACACTGCACATCCTTAGGAGAGTGAGCTTCATTACCTCATGCTACAACAAGAACAGTGTATGTTTCATTCAGTCCCTAGGAAGCATCAGCCATACCACAAAAATAGGAATGTAACGTTATGTTGTCTGCTGGCAGAGGATATTCTTTAGTAGGTGAGTAGCACATAAAAGTGTCCTGTTTAGGAGGTATTCTCTTTCAGATTTTAACAGAAATTAGCTATGTTTTTTCTTTAAATTCTGGCTTGGTATATATGGCACAAAAATGGGTGAGAGTGAAGTACTAGAAGGAATACTTTATCTAAAGTGAGTGAACTTCATAAATATTAAAATACTTTACAGAAACAGGGACAGTATGAGGCCCATTTCTGATGGATCATCAGGTAAGTTTGGGCTCCAGGCTACTGTGTGAATGTCTTTCAGGTAGTGTTTTACAGATTTCTAACTCGCAGTTCAGCACTGGCTCAGAGGCTTGGGATGCTTCGGTTACTAAGGCTCCTGCAGATCCCAAATGGTGTAAAACCAGTGGAAAGATAAATTTCTCAAAGGGCATTGTAAGCTATTTCTAGTCAGTAAATACATTCTGTACTGGAACAAAACAAAGGAACAGCCCCAACACTGCTATGCTAATTCTGAGAATTTAAATGCCTCTGCTAAACCGATTCACGGCCTTTGTCCAGCTTCGAGAGAGGCCCAAGTTCGTGTTCTCAGTGACTATACTCAAGCTGTTATTTAAAAAGGCAAAGGAAGATACATTAAAAAAACCAAAGAAAATACATATAAGTTTGCAATATTTGTATTAACATATTTTAAGATAACTTCTGATACCATCATGTATCTACCATACAACTCTGGGCTGAGCAGCAAGCTACTCACCTTGTTACTAGTTCTTCTTCTGGTTTCTCATGCTCTAAAAGGTGTTGAAAGTAATTCTCCAGGGCTTGAGCAGTTAAAGTTTTCTTTAGGTATGGATAGTAGAGGGGATGCCGTGCTATCACACCTGTTAGGCATTAACTGGCATTAGATGAAATAGGAACTGTTAAAACAAATTCGTAGTTATCCTTTCAAAACCAATTTGAGGTCCTCTGCTTAACTGAAACTGTAAATATGGATCCCCTTTAATGAGCTCCTGAATAAAAACCACAACAGCATGACAGCTCTCCCTCTGTCAGTACAGATGTAGGGAGGAGCACGACACCAAAGAATGCTAAGTTATCGCTAAGTGATGACTGGATTTTTTTTCTGCTACAAACAGCCCCTGCCACTGAAAAGACACCTAAAGAACAACAACATCACAACAAACAACCCACAGGCTTCCCTTAAATGGTTTGCAAGACTTAGATATTTAAGTAATCACAATTAACCACAACAAGGAATGATCAGTGATCAAAGGTTTGGTCCTTGCCCCACCTCTTGCACGGGATTCTGACATAAGTATGACAAATCACAATTACATTTTTATTGCTGTAAATATGCTTTATAAGCTTCAGCTAATTTTATGCTGAAGCTGAGGTTCCAGAGCAGGATCAGGAAAACAACTTTGTATCACTGGGACCTTTCTATCTGGACTTAAACTAGAGGTTAAGTTTGTTGTTGTTAGTGTTGTTCCTTAGAAAAGCAGCAGTGTCTTTGTATATGAAGCAGTCTATTACATATATATCATTCATGACTTGGCAATGCTATGCTGCAACAGTGGTCAATCACAGAGAAAGAAAAAGAAAAAAAAGGAAAAAAGGAAAAAAATAAATCAACATTGCTTCATTCTTCAACCCAAAAAAACCCCCCTAGTTTCACAAACAAGGACATGAACACTATATTCCTGAATACAAATGAACAAAATTCACCAGTTTTAGCACAGCAGCTAATAGCAAATCAAATCCCAAACGCACCTTTAATTCATACTGAGCTTTGAACACCACATGCTCTCATCTTCCAACAAGTAAGAGAGCCAATTGTTGCATGCAGAAGTAAGGAACAGAAGGAATTATTAAACAATGCAAGAAGCAGCACAATCAATGCAAAGAGACTGCATACTGAAATATACCATTTGCATTAGCAATATAATAAAAACATTCTTGTACGTATGAGAACAACTTTAGTATTTCCTAATACTGTCAATGTTTTAGCCATAGACGTGTTACAAAATTAATCTATGAAAATATTATACATGATCAAACAATCAAGAAATTATATTATGTGACATACATACATGAAGGAGTAGCAACCAATATGTAAAAGAAACCTTAAAAAGACATTTCTTAACTTCTGGAAGCTCAATTTTCCAACCCTAAACAAAAACCTTTCTTTTTAGCATGACATGCTAGTATTTTTTCTTAGTACTTCAGATTACAGCAGCTGCTAATCAGAAAACTACAGATATTTCATTAGTGAAATCCATATTCAGTACGTATTCTCTTTAGTTTCAGCACAATTATAAAGAAGGTCAAGTGATGTTTAAAAAAGTAAAGACTAGCACTTGATATGTAAGTCTTATGTGAAAATGTTACATCACTTCAGAAAGCAAAAGAATGAAAAATACCTATGTTTGCAGAATTGCCTTTGTCTCCACTTCTAGTATAGGCAAGATCTTCTAAGCGGTAAGTATGTGGACCACTTGGCAGATCTGCACAACATAAAAATGAATTAATTTTAAAGGTTCTACAAATAATTGCATATTTTGAAGGAGTAAATGTCAGTTTAAGTGCATGTTTTTTGCATTGTTTGCAGTACTCTAAAAACATTTCCAATCCTTCTCACAGGAGCACCTAGAGAAAAAGAGGCAAGACTGGGAGGCCAGTATTAGGAAGAACAGGAGGAATCAACTATCTCCCAAATCCTTTTTACTTTTTTACAGCCAGGTGCTGTACCAGACATCCCCTCTTCCATGACCTTTCAATATGACTTCCATCTTGGCCTTAGGAATGCAGTACCTCTGAAGGAGGGATAACAGCTGCTTGTCCTTTCTTGACTAGCCAGTAACTTTTGCCCCCTTAACACACAGATGCCTTCTTCCAGTGCAGGTGGAAAATACCTGCAGTTGCTCTTGTCCTGACTGAACAGACATTACAGAATTACCTGCTAATGCCTGTAGAAAAGAGTAACAAATTCCTTTTCAAGACAACACATCTCTCACTTGCATTTGCACTATACAGCTTCTAATCCAGCTGCATAGAAGAAACCTAAGATTTCTTTTTCAAATTACTAGTTTTGAAAATATCTTAGTATCATGTAAAAAAATGTATGCTTCCTAGGAAGCCAGTCTTCATTTTCTATCCTGTCAATGTCTGAGGATTGGCTGTTCAAGGAACAGGGAGGTTGTTGCACTTCACTGAACAAAGTTCATACGAAATATTTTTATCCATCTATGTATCAAAAAGCAAACCCACTCCTGTCCAAATCCAGAAACTTAATATTGTGAGATTGACACAGTATATACCTGAGGTTTGACAGTTAAGTTACATAGCACAGACCTCTTGCAACTGTTGATTCTGAGAGTGAGTAGGCTGTCACCATCTACTTCCTGCTCTCTAAAGTGAGAGATGAAGCACCCACTTTGCTAACGAGTTTGAGTTATTCACTGATCACAGCATAACACTGAAACTTGAAGCATGGGCTAAATCCAAGCTTTAGACAGCAAGAATCAAGTAATTTTCAGTAAGTTTTGCTTCTGATCCAACTTTCCTACGGCTGTATAAACTCTCCTGGACTCCTTGGCTTTTCAATCTCATCATCAGTAACAGGCTGACCTCCACTCCTGACTCACAGCAAACTTCTTATCTCCCAGTTCTTCTCTCCTCTGTGCCCTGTCTTTTTTTCCATCCTTCTGGATGCAGTTGGTGGTTCTCCCCCTCTCTCTGCTCCTGGGACACCAGTAGGGGGAATATGCAGGGCAGGGAGTGACAGCCTTCCTGCTTCGTGGCAGCTTCTGGTGCAACTGCTGCTGATGGCAGCCAGAAGAAGCAAGTCACAAACATCCTGAATTTAAAGGAACTGAATATACAAGGTCTTGTAAACCAATTATGCTGCACTAATTTCATGTTGCAATGCACAATGCAGTTTAAAAATACATCAGTCTGTCCCTTTTGTACTATTATTGCTTCTGCTGAGAATACCAAACTATTTAGGTTGATTTTTTTCCCCCCTTTTTAAATTTTGTTTTAATTTTAGGGAATACGAGACCCAGTATTAAAGATCTTATGCTCCAAATGCTGGCCTGAGGCATCACTTAGAGCATAGTGCACCTACTATGCAGGCATGAGTAGATATGTAGTCTGTGAAATGCATTAGGTGATCAGGTAAACTCAGCCCCAGCCTAATCATCCTTACCTTCAACTCATTTCTGCCCACAGAAAATTGCTGAGAAAGATGTGAGCCAGGCTGACCTGGGTAAGAGAGAAACAATGTCCAAATCCTACTGGCTGCAGTTTGCACTGACCCTGTCGGTGGCAGTGGCAGCTGGACAGATCCCTCAAATCCATTTGGGTACGAGGTAGGAGATATATTGGATAACAAAAATGCCTCAATATGACATGACACCATTTGTACAGTGTATTTGTGTTTGGTTGAAGCAGATCAGTCAACACTCACAAGAGGAGCTCTGCTGGCACATGTGAGTGGCAATAACAGGGAAAACAATAAGGAAGAACTAGGGGCTCACCACAGCAACCTCTTCTACTGGCACACCTGCATCAGAAAATCTTCCCACAACCTGCCCGAACAACTTATGAGCACTGAACTGCTTTAAGTAAGACCTAAAGTTTTATAATATATATTGGGTCACTGCAAAAGGTGAGCTGCAAGAGTGATTACAGCTCAGCCTGGCACGATGGCTCCTCAGTGGTAGAAAGTCAAGGTAACATGAAATTTGAAGAGGTTAAAACATACAGTGAAAAAGAGGAACATAGAAGGTTTTGAGCTTGAAGCTCACAATCTTTTCCACATTCACTTGCAAGCAGAAGTGTGCCAGAAATGTTTAAAGGTGCATTTATTTAACTGGGTAATATTATTTGTGATTAAACATCTCCATTGAGAGGGGGTCTGAAAGTCCAGCTAAAGCTCATTGTTCATTTTGGATACAACTACCGCACTTCATACACTACAGAAATCACATTAGTTTTAATAATTTCATTCCATACACAATTCAAGACGAAATGTAGTGCTTTATCAAAGGCTGAAATTTTACAATATCTGAATCACATAAGTTATAGAAATCTTTTCTCCATCAGATGTTTTACAGTCTCTGACAATCTCCCTTTAAACAAAACCAGTTCAAGTCAGTGTTTCTGGTGTTATCATTTATTATTACCCTGATTTATCTTTCATGATCTGTTTATCAGGAAATTGTTTTCATTTACTAAACATCTTAAACAAATCTACGAAAGAATTCCCTTCAAAGCTAGGGAAAATGGTAAATACAAATTCCACCCTCCCAGAAGCACATCTAGCACATATTTTAAATCCATTTTCACATATTTCTCTTATCTATTCAACGACAACTAACAGTCCCTCACCCTTGAGATAACCATGAAACCAAGAAAAATACTTTCCTCCTTTTTAAATGCTTACAGAAAATGCTTTTGCAGAAGCTATTCCTTTTACAGTCTAACTCATTTGTCTTTTCTCATCCATGCTGTCCTACATTAAACCACAGAAGTAGGTAAGTATTTAGTCACATGCAGAAAACATTTATATTTACAACCAAGGGCAAAAGTTTAGATGCTTCTCAGGGGAGACAACCAGAGCAGTTCTGCTGTCTCTCAGAAGTGGGGTTTTGCCTGAAAGAAAGCCTGAAGTATTCAGTAGTTAACTGCTGGTGTCAGGCACCACAAAGTTTTCTCAAGTTATAAAAAGGCAGTAGGGAGTCCAACAGCTTTTTGCTTCTCCCATATTTAGCACTGTAGTCACCTTGAAAAAAAACCCAAACCCAGGACTTTTGTTAACCCTTTCATTAATGCAAAACAATGACTTCCTATTCCTTAACTTGCCCAGTCTGATGCTGCAAACACCCTGCTGCCCTCCTGAGAACTCCCAGGGAGCTGAAAGATGCTGGTGAGACATCAGATTTCCAACTGAGCTGAAGAGCTGAAATCTACTTAAGAACTTAAAATTGTTTCTACACGGCACAAATCATTCTATTGAAGAGATGTTTTAATAGATGGGGAAAATGAAGACATGCATGGTAATCAGGCTTCCACTATCAGTGGCTTTCAAATGGCAATAAACACAAAGTCATGTATGTATTTCAAAATTTCTCTGTGTGATACAAACATTCCCTACTAACTCATATTAGTTGTTACACAGTTCTATTGCTAGCTTTGAGAAAACACTGCTCACCTTTATCTGGAGTCCAGAGTAAACCTTAACATATAAATGCCTTAATAGCATTAATTTTTAAAGTATACACAGACTTTAATACCTGAATTACTCTTTCACCAACAGTATTATTTTCAGAAATGTTTCTAACTTGTAATTTTTAGGTAGAGTCACCTGATTCAGATTTTCAAATACCTAGCCACAGCTTTAAATTAATTCTCTCAGTTCTTTGGCAAGCAGAAATAAGATAATGAAGACTGTATGGACCAAAAGGGAATGATGGAGCATGCTATACTCTAAGAAATACGGTATATAATTCAGCCATTAGAAATAACAAATTTTCAGGTGTCCAGCACTTTCAATAATTGCTTGTATAAGCAACTCTGATTTAACACTTCCTTTTCATTGCAGACATCGTGACCTGCTCCATCCAGCTCACCGGTCAGCCCTTCTCAAAGTTCTTTTCTTTCTCAGAGAATTTGGTTAGACAAGTCTAGCAACAGCACAGCAACTATCACGCTGGATATTACCCCAGTATGGTTTCTTTTGAAGTCACTGGTTCCAGGTTGATCCCGTTCTTGTTGATTTTGTGAAGGCTGCCACATGGAACAGGAGTGAATTTTAATTATGTAAGTTCTGTGAGTCCATAAGTATTGTTTGTCTGTCCTCTATTCTAAACGCTATTTTGATGTAACTATTCCCAAGATTCACAAAAACTAAGATTACAGTATACTTTGAAACCACGTTTCAACTTTAAGCCAGTTTTACACGATCTTCAGTTTATTTAAGGCTTAGAGGTTTTTAATAAAAATTTACTTCCATACTTGTTATAGTCTCAAGTATGTATTATACTGCATGACACTTCCAAGAAAACAGTTTGTGCTTTGTAACAGCCATAAAAATGTATCACATAAGGAGGCAAAATGTATTTCACAGACAAAATCCAACATGATTGACCAGGATAAAGATAGCAAATGATAAATTCACAAGTAGAAAGATGAACATACCTGTCAATTCACTGCTAATCTTGGGTAGATCAAATGAAACCACCTCATCTGATGTAAATGTGAGATCCTCCTCAAATACCTCAACATGCTGCCCATTTAAAAATAGGTTGACCTGTACAAAGAACACAGATTTTTCAAACAGTCAAATCAGAAATCCATCACAATGTGAATAAATAAAGCATATTCCTAATTAAGTACTGATCTAGTACACTTCCAGTAATAGCTTTACGGATAACGCTCTGTTGCTCCCTTTTAAAAGGTCACAATACAATAACAATTCATTATAAACCCAAAAGAAATCTTTGTTTAGGGAAAAAAAAAGGGTATAAAAACCCCAAAGGAATTCTCCATCCAGTCTGGTAATTTTTTAAAGGAAGACAAATCTATTTCCATCTCACTCTATATACTGCAACACTGCATGGAACTTTGTGTCACAACTCTTGACAGTTGAATCCCAAAACTTGAACATTTCCATCTTTTCCATGATGCAACCCCCTTTTATTCTTAATGTTGCTGTCTGTATTATAGACAAACACAATACAATCTCTGCATTCTGTGTTCATCTTCAAATATATTTTGTGAAATCTGCTAAAAAAATACATAAATACAGGAATTTTGGGCTTGGTTGTTGCTCAGTAGCAACACTTAGAGTAGACTCCAAGTCAAGGACCTTTCAGTTTCCCATGCTCTGCAAGCAAGCAGGTGCACAGAGAGCTGGAAGGGAGCATGGCCAGGACAGCTGACCTGAACTGGCCAGAGGGATATTCCACACCAAACAGCATCATGCCCAGTATATAAATGGGGAGAGCTGGGAGTTGGCTCGGAGCTGCTGATCTCTGCTGCGGCACGGGCTGGGCATTGGTCAATGGGTGGAGGAACACTCTACAGGACATTCTACTTGTCCTTCTTGGGTTTTATTTCCCTCTTTTTTGTCGCCTCCCTTTTTTAATAATACCAACAACTACTACTTTGTAATAATTATTAAAGTGTTGTTATCTCAACTTGTGTGGTTTATTTTTTACCATTTTCCCAAATCTTCTCCCTATTACACTGGAGAGGAAGGAGGTGAGAGAGTGGCTGACTGGCACTTAATTGCCAGCTGGGAATAAACCCCGACAGGCCTTTTTCATGCCCAGCATGGGACTTAATGGGTTGAGATAACAACAGATCTAACTAGAATATGTTAGAACAAATTTCTTACAAGCATTCGTTGTATTAGTTTCACAGCCACTGGCCACAATGACTTATTTGCTCACCAAGTTGATGTGTTTGTTCCTTAAGTTCAATTATGTACCGCCTTACTTGCGGTGTGTGTTCTCTGTTAGGATGTTTATCACCCATGGAAACTGGGCTGAGATTATCAAGCTGTACTTTGAAACACTGGCTAATGATATGATATAATTACTGGTTGTGAAACCAACCTGGTATTTGCACTCAGCATTGCTGTCATCCCTGTACTTGGGAGTCATCTATCAGCAGCTATTGATAATTATACCTTTTACCTTTTCTCTTTGGAAACTCAGACCATGGAAGGGACACACTTCCCTTCCTCTCCCCCTTATCCTCCAAGCTAATTACAAAAGATCTTGAGAATTTTAAGTATCTTGGGATGCTCAAAGTAGCATATTCCTATCATTATGTCTTCACAGAATCAATTAGATTGGGAAAGACCTCTGAGATCATCGAGTCCAACCTATGATCCAACATCACTATGTCAACTAGACCTAAGTGCCACATCAAGTCGTTCTTTAAACGCCTCCAGGTATGGTGACTCCACCTCCTCTCAGATAGCTGTAGTGTGTTGATAAGGTCTCTGCTGAACCTCCTTTTCCCCAGACTAAACAACCACAGCTCTCTCAGCTGCTCCTTGTGAGACTTGTACTCCAGATCCTTCACTAGCTTTGCCAGCTTCTCTGGACATGCTCCAGCACCTCAAAGCCCCTCCTAAATTGAGGGGCCCAGAAATGGACACATGACTCAAGATGTGGCCTCCCCAGTGCTGAATACAGGGGGATGACCACTGACCTGGTCCTGCTGGCCACACTCTTGCTGATACAGGCCAGCACACCATTGGCCTTCCTGGCCACCTGGGCACACTGTTGATTCATGCCTTGTGAATGTGTTCCAGGTCTTGTTTAAAGTTTAAACAGCTATTTAAGACTAATTCTCAGAGATCAGCCCTGCAGAGAAAGACTTGGGAGTGATGTTTGATGGAAAACTCAACCTGTTGGTGTACGTTCGCAGCCCAGAAAGTCAACTGAATACTGAGCTGCATCAAAAGGAGTGTGGCCACTCAGTTTCAGGAGGTGATTCTCCCCCTCTACTCTGCTCTTGTGACAACTCACCTGGAGCATTGTGTACAGTGCTGGTGTCCCCAAAATATGAAGGACATGGACCTGTTGGAGCAAGTCCAGAGGAGACCATGAAGTTCATAGAAGGACTGGAGAACCTTCCCTACAAAGACAGACTGAGGGAGTTGGGGCTGTTCAGCCAGAAGAAGAGAAGACTGTGTGGAGACCTCACAGCAACCTACCAGTATCTGAAGGGGCCTACATGGAAGCTGGAGAGCAGCTCTTTGTCAAGAACTGTAGTGACAGGACAAGGGTAATGGGTGCAAATTGAAAAAGGGGAAATTTAGGTTAGATATTAGGAGGAAATTTTTCACTGTGAGGGTGGTGAGACACTGGAAGAAGATGCCCAGGGAATTAGGGATGCCCATCCCCGGAGCTGGTTAAGGAACAACCTGGTCTAGCAAGAGGTATCCCTGCCCATGGCAGTGAAAGTTGGGAATAGATGATCTTTAAGGTTTACTCCAATCCCTTAACATTCATCCTTGAGAAAATGCTGAAACCAGAAAAACCAGTAAAATATGTGGAAAAAGTATGCTGTCACCTTGGCAATTCCAGAGAGACACAGATCACTGCAATGTGCTGGCCCAGGCCTACCAAGCTCTCTTTGACACTATTCTTCTCAAGGGGAAAAGAAGGTCTCTGGATCTGATGACAAAACAAAAACCCTGAGCTACTGCAACCCCAGTGACAGGCATTGCAAAGGAATGAGAGGACTCACCCCCTCTAATTATCAATCACTCCTATACACAAGAAATGGACACAAAACTCAGCTTGTAAATGAGGATGAAGGAGGGTCACCACAAAAACAGGAGAAAGAGGCAGAAAAAGATACCTATCTTTAAATCAGATGTGAGATTTACAAAAATATTTCAACTGTCTTCCAGGTCAGCACATTATCATCTGGCTGCTATGAAGTAGCTATGATCACTTTCTAGGGAAGGGGGTATAGACAACTGTACTTGAAAAAGGGGTCTAGGTCCTCAGCCTCAGAACATGACTCCTGTTAAGTCTGAAGGAGAGGTATTCTTTCCAGGAAAATGCTTGTCACCAAGATAAGAGGACCACAATGAAGGGAGGTATCCAGTTCTTGAAAGAATTAGCCATGCTAGAAATTATTTATTATGAGCTGACTAATGTGCAGCTACCCACAGATCCACATGAAGCCCAGTTCCCGTGACCCACAGGACAGCAATTTGTGTGAAGGACATCACCACTGTATCCCAAGTGATTGGCAGCAATGTCCTGGAGAGACAAAGAGGCACCAGCCATGGATCAACTGGCTGAACACCACCAACAACATTGGGGGGGGGGAGGGGAATCTTGCTCCATAACATATATGGACCAGTATCTCAGCTTTGAACAGTAACCATCCTTTTGATCAAGAAGAAGGATGTAGAAAGTACACACAGAGCAGGCTACCCTTCAGTTTTACCTGTGGGACCACTGACAGGACATGCAGAATTGGGATGGAAGTGAATGGCATTTCATCTGTATTGGAGGACTCCCAGTATGAAAGATTCAGACCCAATCAGGTTAAACTTTCAGAACAAAGCAACATAAATTAACTTAGCTGCAGCAGTTATCAGTGCTCAGTTGTCAGCAAATGCAAAATAACTCTACTCAGCACTCTTTCTTATGATTGCCCTTAAAGAATAACTAATAGTGACTCTCCTTCAGTAGGTTTACTGCAATTTCTCCCTGTGTAAAAGTTTTAGGTTACCTTCAAAGCACACATGGAGAACAACTACTGTTTGAACTGTAAAATCACTGGTGATCTATAATAAAATCAGTACAATTGCATAAAAGCAGTGGAAACAACAAATAAGACATTGAATCCAAACTGTCACCCAGAAAGGTGTTACCTAACATAAAAGAACCCACTGTGGCAATGTTAACATAACTCATAATCTGCTTATGGAATTTTTTTAGTTTTAGGTCAAATGCTGACCTAGAGCAACTAGACTCTTTGTAACTGAACTTCTAATTTAGAAAATCAGTTAATTCATACCATACCCACTCTGTAACCTCTTACTGGACAATAGTTTTCAAAACACAGCTAGAATTTTGAATCAAGGACTTGAATCACACCACATTTTTACCCTCAATATTACTGCAGGACAACAGTGATAGGACACATTGCATTTTGTTGACAGCATAGCAGTGCCCCTATCAGATTAGTTACACAGAGCAAGGACTTTGATTTCCTGTATTGAAAAGAGTAAATGAGACACGGTTTTCTTTTCATGTTAAATTAGGTTACTGTTTAATCTCAACAGCATTTTACCAAGTCTGGAACACAGTGCTAATCAAGTAAGTTAATACTTACTGAATAATGAATTTCAACAACACATTGGTGGGCTGAACTTCCATAAAGATGGTAATTTCACACTAAACTTGGCAAAGACAAGCCATTTGTAAAAGATAAAGTGTAAGTGATGATAAAAGTAAGTACTTCAACTTTAGACAACAAAAAAAGGCGGGGGTTTCTTTGATGTTTTTCCACTGTGTCGAGTTTGTAATTACCTCAGATTTAAAAACTAAATGGTATCTTCTGCATGAAGTTGTGAAATTAAAATATTTTCTTTCAATGAAGAATACTAGTTAAAGAATAGGGTTTGGTTGTGCTAAGCACTGTATGAATGTTAAAGAATGAAAACAAAACAGTCCCTTTCTGATCAAGTTGTTTTGTCTGTTCCCCCTTGTCCACTTTTTCACTTGCTGCCTGTTCTCCCAAAGCTTCCCTGAGTCACCCTAAGCAGAAGCACAGCTGACCTGTGACCCATTAGGTCACAACACCTGTGGCCTAACACAGACCAACCTTTGGCCACTTCCAGCCTTTGGCCACTTTTTTGTCAGTGGATGGGTGAGAAGGCTTTTACTGAGTATTAGGATCCCTTGGCATGAGAGGGATGCAATAGTTACAAAGCTACTTGAAAAAGAAGGGCATCTATTCAGTTTTGTCTGCAGTTTCCAAAGGATAAATTCAGTATCTGATGGCACTCAGAAGAACAGAGACAGTGTTTGTAAATCCAAACACTTTATGGTTTCAGCAAAAGCAATTTCTTCAAGTTTATCCTGAAAACTTCGAACTAGACAGGGGTACATGTATCACAAAAAAGAAGTAGGCTCTAGATGAACATGTCATCTTACACTGTAGTGTCTCACCTAGGGCTGCCTAAACATCTGAACTGTAAATTCTTGGACTGAAAGAAACTATTGCTATGAACTGAACAGGGCCACAGAGACACAGGTTCCTCCATGATAGCACAACAGTAGCACAGGCTTTCATAATCTGACAGTTTTGTAATACAGGCAAGAACAGAAATCACTACTTCTATTTTTATAGACCTATTAGAAACCTGTTCAATCAGAGGAAATGCAATGATTTTAGTATTTATTTCCAGTAGTATACACAAAATACACCACTCCCCAAAAACTCAGATGATGTATCCAAGTTCACAAGAATAATGTTCCACTCTCTGAACACGCAACTGCCTACTCTTTAAAGAGACTCCATTAACCTCCAAAGAAGTCCACAATTTTCTTAAGCACTCTTTGTAAATGTAGTAAAAATAATTCAAACCTACAATTCCAGGAACCTGAAAAGACAAGCTCAGTTTTGATGCAAGATATTTCAAAATTCGCAGTAATTAAAATGGAAGGTTAGCAAGTTCAACTGTTGCAAAACATTCTGTGTGAGTAACATTAGTCTCTCAGGAAATATTTTTTAATCAAAGTCACCAGACCACTTTGCAGTTTTATTACTGAAAGTCACCAAAAAATGCCAGAATCAGCAGGATTTTTCAAATTACTTCCAAGAAAAGAGAACTCAGACTTTAAGCAGTAGGTCTTACCTGAACATTGCTTTTGGGATAATAGAAGAAAAATGGCTTCAAAACGGGAGACCTAGAGACACAAAACAACATGCATAAATGCATTTACCTATAAATTAATGAAACTTGCAGATCCTACACCTCTGGACTATTCATTCACCAAACACGTGGGAAGTCAAATCCATTCAACCATGACTAGCAACGGTTTTTCAACCAACTTGAGTGTAAAAACTCCTTAAATTCCATTATTAAGAATGTAAGATTTTGTTTTAAAAACTGAAGAAGATTTCACTGAGGGAAAGTAGCTAAAACAGCAAAAATATTTTCTTGACAAAGGATGTACTTCTTGACATTGAAGTCTACTACACTGTCAGTAGCCCTACACTGATACCTAGGCCAGCTACACAGGGCTACTGGAAATACTGGAAATACAGCCACAGGTTCTTCTCCCATCTTCATGTGCAGTATTTGCTAAATGACAGCAACATTTTAGATGAATAAGCATGAAAAGGTGAGGATACAAATCACCACAAGATTTTAGCAATATCTGGAAAGTAAATCAAGCCAAGTTTTTTTTTTTTTCCTAAATATACTCAATGTAGCTACATTCTGCTCAGTCATGAAATGTTTTCATGCTAAAATTTTGTGGGACGTTCTGGCATTTGACCTTACATTTCTAGGTGAAGTGAACTCGTACAAATGTAAATTTGATGGGCCCATATTCCAAACTACCAGCTACAAGAGAAAACTGGTCCAGAAATTTGCATGTATTTATGTGGTTGAGCTACCGTCTTGCCACAAAGTCACATTTCAAGTTTTCCGTACAGCTCATTAAGCAAAAGCATTGCTATGAGCTGATCAGAAACCTACATAACTCACATTTAATTCAATAAAGAATTTTACTATTTGCATGCATATCGTATAGCACTATTATCTTGTTATCAGTTATTAAGCACAGAGCGACACAGGAAGATTTAGTTGCTTCTGTGGTTGCTGTCCCAAGCTGGGGAAGCTTGTGCTGGTGACCAGTAGGAACATTTCCATCACACATTACAACAAGTTAATGGGCAGGAGTTAACTTACACTCTGGGGCGCCCTCCAACAATTCCAGTGAGGCCAGGGGCTAGAAAAGGAAATGAAATTCACAAAAGGATAGTTGGTTAAAGCCTTCTTCAAAACATCAGAGCTTGCAGCTTACCATAGCTTGCATTGATCCATTTTTAATAAATGCAGGGAAATCTCTAGAAAATTACATTCTCATAAATTAACAAAACTGAACATTTTATACAAGTTAAAAGGCAAAACATGTAACTGTGAATTTTAACAAAAAAAATTTAAATGTGCAAAGTGTGAACTAAATCTTTAGAATCTTCTTTCAAATACTTTGTATACGAATACCAGTGAGGTAATACATTTGATAGAAAAAGAACTTTGCCTTATTTTTTTTGTCATTCTTGTTTTATTTACTTTCAAAGAGAACAGAGAAACAATTCTGATGAACCATGGTTTCTGTTAGTATTTAATATGACTTTGCTTGTGTAGATTAACTGTTAAATTTGAATCACTCTCTCCAGCTTTTAAACTAACTTTGCTTTTAAGGTGTTGGGTACTGCAGATGCCATTCTCTGTGGTACAGAGGCAATTCAAGTGTTTAGGGCATTAGCACAAGCACAGATCTGTGCTAAGTCAGCACTGTATTATCAGGCTGCCATGCTCTACTATCATTAAACCCATCTGCCCAGTTCAATATTTCTGAAAGAAACAGTTCTGCTCTCCTCATCCTGAGCATAGCTTCTCACCCTTCTGTCTGGCATGCACAGCAGGAACACAAGATGCATCAGAGCTCCAAACAGTATTGCAGGGGAAAGAAACAGTAGAATGCATACATTACATTAACCTAGGAATTAATTAACAACTATGTTAAGCAGTCCCTTTAAAAGAAGTGCTGTGGAAAGCTGCCCAGATGGTATATTTGGCCAAATTAATTCTGGCTAAAAAGGGCTTCACACTCCTGCAGGTGTGAATGCCCTCAGTTAGTGCTCCAAGCAAACTGAAAGCCAGGTAACTGTGCTGTTGTGATACTAAAGCTCAGTGATGAGCTCTACTCCACAGAAGGCTGCTCTAGCTTGGATTCAGTGCCTTGTCAATGCGGACACGTATCAATGCCAGCACAGATTACACAGCCTTGCCATATCCATGCTCATCAGAAGCGACTTCCCCAAAAAAATCCCTGATGTTTTATAGTACACAGAAGAAAAAAACCTTCAAGAGAAACAGCATCACAAGTAAACAACCACCTCCCTGCTCACTATGTACTGCTAAAAAGAAATGTGGCGGTGGAGAGAAAACAAAAGAATCCCTTACGTAAGTATTACACAATTTTACATGATCCAGCGAGGTTGCAGCCCTATATATCTTACCTGTGCAATCATGCAAGCAGAACTGCCACTTAGCAACAAAATCAGCTGTAGAGATTTTATTGAATTATGTGCCTAGTTTGTTTATTTAGATTGCTGAGGAAGGAGGGTGGATATGGTAAGGTTTTTTGAAAATACAGGTCCATAAAGCTAGTTAAATTATCTGTGGATTGTCATATGGGTCACTTCCTGCTAGGGAGCTGAACTGCTCATTAAGGACACCAGATTTTGCTCCAACATCAATTTCAACTTCCTGAAAGCTTTTAAAGAAAGCTCTTAATTCACTTGCTTTCACACAAGGGATCTTGACTCCTACAAGAAAGTAGTTCTCAACATAGACAAGAAAACAATCCAAGTAAGAGCAACAATTGCTCACACCTCAAGGGCAGGATAACCTTCTTCAGTTGGTCTTTCAGAAGTCCAGGAGCACAAGATACTGCAACAGCCTATCTGTCTTTGGAGGTACTACAGCTATCCCTGCAACTGCAGAGCAAACCTCCACCAATATCCCAGGTGCAACACTATTAAGTTCTATGCTACGATTATTGTTTATGTAAATATAAATATGATGGACACAATTTTAAGTCCAATTTAATTTTTATCTATATGAAATTCCTAATTAGGCTTCAAGCAGAGAAGACAAAGCAAATCTTAAATTACTGATTGTAAGCCACAACCAGTTTGTTAATTCTGTAAAAAGCACAACAGCACTACACCTCACCTCAACCCAGGTCTCAGATTCCCATTACATTTCCCCAGTAAACCAAAAGAAGGCAATGGAAGGTGTAGTACAACCAAGTAATAGTGAACTTGTCACTGTGGTCAGACCTAATTCTGTTAATTAAATTATGATCTCCTTGGATCAACCACTGTCCCAAGAAAACTTCTTATAAAAACATCTCCTCATGCTGTAATTCATGTTGCATTGCTTGCTTGCATAGCTGTACAGATGCTCTCCCTCCTTTCTGGAAGGTTTATCTTTATCTACAATGACACAAACAATTTGTTGTACTTGTAGAGAGTATCAATCAGGCTGCAGTCTCAAATTGCTAAGATTCTCAGCTAAACTGAAACTCTTGATCTGCTTTCCCAGAAACTTCACATGACGACTTTTTGCCATCAGAGCTCCATTCCTTAGTGCCTCAAGGAAGACAAAAGTATTGTCACCTCTGCCACCACTGAACATCTCGAACAAATTGCTTCACTTCAAGCCAATGAAGTCACCACCACTCTCTGCCAGCTTCTGTGCCTCAGAATAGCATAAAACTGATGCACTGCAAAATAGAGTGCTTACCTTTAGATGGGAGACCTTCCTTTCAATGCATCTATATCCTGTTCATCTGTAGGTACAGTGTTTGTTTGGCGTCAAACTGAGTATCATGACACTTATTTTGATTCAAACATTTGATCCAAAAGCCTTCTATTCTCTCACAGTGGCTGGGGACCAAACCTAAGAACTGGAAATTCTCCAGGTGGTTGGGCATTTAAACCAATGAGTACTGGGGATTACACCACTGGGATTCCACTGTTTTTATTAACTCCCAAATATATTACATGGTTGGAAAAACTTCAGGCAGTAAGAATGATAAGTCTACTCCTTTTTAGGTGACTAAGTTCTGGTATGGGACCCTTCCTTCAGATTCTGTGTTTAAAGGTTTAAATATACACTGAACCTATGAAATAAATATATTATTAGTTAGAAAGTGCTTTTCTTTGATTAATCTGCACTATTCTTCATACAGTCCTATCCTGTCTTTTTATTTTATGACTCTTTTCTCTAGTTTAGTCCATGTCTTACTCATTTTCAGCCCAAGTATCTTACAAAAAACAAACCATCATCTGCGTATACACGTACGTATAATTAATTGTCAGGTTTTCTTCCTTTGTCCCTGTCCATGATTCTTTTGGCACATCTACAGACTCCAACATTTGGGTCCAATGGCAAATCTGAAGGATGGAGAGGAATCTCAAGAATACCAAAGCACACTAACACCCCATGACTGGAACTCCCCTGCGAGCAGAGATGTAGGAACAGATATCCATGTAAATAATACAAGGTGAAGCCCAATCAGGATACACTCCTTGCTAAAACAGCTTGACTATTTCTGGTTTCCCGTGTATGTTTTACCTCTCCAGCTGCCTCTTAATCTTTTTTATTTTCTCACCCTGTAAAACCCTGCTGTGGATGGACTTGCAAATATAAATTCCTCTAAAAATCACATACGTTGTGCTGGAAAAAAAAGCAGGATAAATTTAATGAGCAGAGGTAGCAGGCAAACTAAAAGAGTACTTGGGAAAACCAATGTTGCTCTCAGTTGGGGCAATTCAGGGGAACGGATCCACTGATAACGAGCCCCAATAAAACATGCATAAAATCAGCCCAAATAAGCACCTATTTCAATATGTAGAACCACCACGTTCTAATACATTATAATCTATGTCATATACACCACACCCTGTAAAATGCCCCACAGCAGAAAAAACCCTGGTTGGCACCTGCAATCAACCTACGAGATGCAAATTTCCAGCAAAACAAGCCTCGCTCATTCCTTCCAGCTCTCATTATACACCACTAGACTTACAGATGGTGGAAAAGCCAGATGTTTTGCCTCCTTATTATTCCCTCTATCCTATTCCAGTCCTGCTTGAATGTTCACACCCAATTTTGGATAATTACTTCTTATTCTTTTATCTACTTCTGTCAAAAAAAAAACCCTTCTGTACAATTCCATATATTTTTTAACCGAATAAACCATTATGCAATATACAAAGGATGCTAGACTGTATGAAGCATTTTGTAAAATGTTTTGGAGCAAAAAAGCATGAAAATGCTCCAACTACTTGAAATCTAAAAAGCTTTAAGGACTTTAATAAAACTTAAGTGCCTTTTTGAAGTTTCACAGAATTTCAAGTTACAGCAATGCCTCCTGCTGAACAGCTTTCAGCTTTTGATCCTTAAACTTCCAGTGATTGATTTAGCTCAACCAATAGGTTATTTATGTATTTACTGCATATTCTAAGAAATGAAACATGCTTTTATATATAAAACCAGACAAATAGTCCGCTTGCCAAGCATTATTTTTTAAATGATCACACTGGAGAAATCTGAAATCTCAGGTTTTATACTCAGTAGTTCTTACAACATGGTTGATCACGAGTATAAAATGCATACAACCTTTTTTTACAGGGGTCAATTGTATGTCCTTAATTATTCTATGTCCTCTGAAAACAGCAGATAGTTTATCTTCTGCAGTATTATTCTCAAAAAAACAGGGACTGCAGTAAACTGCTACAACAAGGACATTTCTAAAAGTATCTTCCAACACACTTAGGACATCAGTCAAAATATTTACATATACTCAAGCACTTTAAAATCTCAAGTTGTATTAACCAGCTGTCATCTTAGTGTCAAACTCCGGTCATTTTAATGTGAAATAAGGGTCAGCACATGATTTCAGCTATTAGTAAAACATTTCTTAGCTACTGAAGCCCCGTTAAACTATAAACGCCAGATTCCCACAGTAAGGCTTTTGTTGAGCCTCTTCTATACTGCATTTCACTCCGAATAAAGCATCTGGATTAAAGAAGACAACATAAAGACATTAAATCAACAGAAATTATTTAAATTCTAACTATTTGGCTGACTGGACTGTACATAATGAAGAGATTTTCACTGACTAATATAAACCAGGTCTGGGTTTGCTAG